TCCGCGTGCGCCCCCTGCCTGCCTCCCTGCCCGCCTCTTTGCGGGGCCCCAGGTGGGGGTGCAGGAGGAACCACCACTCTCCCCAAGGCTTCAGGTGGGGGGCTTCTGTGCCATCTCAGATGATTGCTACCTGGTCCAGAACAATCTCATGAGGGATGGGGGGGTGCTCCTGGACCAAATCAAATGCCGGGAGGGGGCGCCTGGGGCTTGGACTGCCTCACTATGAGAGTGGGGATTATGGGGAGGGGCTGGGTGAACCATCTTCTGAACCATCTCTAGTGGGAAGAAGCTCGGGCTCCTGGCCACCACATGTGGACAGGGCATATGGGAGGGCGACCTGGAACATCTCTTACAATCTCCAGTGGGGGCGACGGGGAACAGGGGATTCCTCCAATGGCTCAAGTCCAGGCCTACCCCAGTTATGGGGGAGGGAGGAAGGGTATGGAGGCCCTTGTTTATTTCGTATGCGGAGAGAACAATCTCCCATGGGCTTTCAACATAGCGGGGAGGGTTGAATCATCTCTAATTGAGGCTGAGGGGTTTAGGGGTTAGACCTGGTTCCTGAACCAGCTTTGGTTGGAAGAAACTTAGATACGGGGTGATGATGGAGGAGGGGATGATCCTGAGTCACACAGATGGAGGGGCTCGAGGCCAGGACTATCTCTGTTTAGGGTTTAGGAAGATGTTTACTGGGCCATCTCTAATGTGGCCAAAGTCTAGAATCGTTATATGGAATTCAGGGGAAGGAGGGGAAGACAGCAGGTCTCCTGAACCGTCACTAATAAGGAAGGGGGCCTGGACATCTCGGATTAGGGGAGATCGTTCCTTATGTGTGCAGATCATCCCTTAGGGAAGGGACTTAATTCCTGAACACATTTAAAGGGGCGAGGGCTTGGTTCAGAGCCATCGCTGGCTGCAGGAGGGCGCAGGGCCGCTGGCCCCCCCACGGCCCTCAACCCCTATCCCCATCGCCCGCCCCGCCCCTCTCCTGGGGTACAGCGATTCTCACAAATCTCAGGAGAGAAAGGTGAGATCAGCGCGCGTCCCTGCGGGACCCGTAGGCGCGGACACGCGCGGTTGCCAGGGGCGCCCGGGGCCCCTCCTTCCTTCCCCGGAGTCGGCGTGGGCGGGCAGGGACCTGCGGAGCATGCGCACTGATACCCGGCTCCGCGCGCCTCCTGGCGGCCTAGAGCGACCATCGCTCCGCGACCCACTTAGACGGGGCGTCCCCACCCCCACCTCGGCAGAGGATCACTTCCCTCCCAACTAAAGGGTATGTCTCGGTTCCCAGCACACCTGGAGTTCCTACCTCATGGCAGTCTCGGAGGAAGTGCTGCAGCTCAAGTTGGTCATATAGCTTTTGCATCCATTGCTGGGCCCGTAACTGGTTTTCTTGGTTCCTGGGGATGGGGAGATAAGGGCTGGGGAAAGGTCCCGGGGGGTAGCGGGGAGGCGCTGGCAGTAGGATCGTGAAGGCATTGGGCTGGGTAGGGGAAGAAGGGCGTGGAGAACATGTAAGAGAGAGAGAGGAACTAGTGGGGCAAAGCCAGGGACAGGGCTGGAGAAGGGCAGAGAGAGAGACAGAGGAAGAGAAAGGGAGAGGGAGAGACAGGCACTTAGAAAGAGATACAGATGCAGAGGAAAAAAGGCAAGTCCAGAGAGAAAGATAACAGAGAACTAAAGGCAGACATACCCAGGGACAAAAACAAAACAAAACAAAAAACGAGAAAGTGAGAGGAGACACCAGAAAGAAAGAAAGAAAGAGAGAGAGAGAGAGAGAGAGAAAGACAATAAGAAAAGCCGAGAAAAGAGATGGAGTAAGGCAGAGCCAGAAAGACACTCAGGGAGCAGCAGATGAGGAAAGAGGAGGCAGAGAGAGGGAAAGTGACAGAAGGAGTCTGGTCAGGGATAGCCCAGAGAGACACAGGCAGAGAAGTGGCAAATGCCACCAGGAAAAGAGAGCCCCACAGACGACAGACAGACCAGGGGGCCACAGAGTTGGAGAGAGGGAAGACAGCAGAGTGTGGGGAGAGATGACAGCAGAGTCACAGAGAAGCTGAAGTGGGCATGCCTGGGGGCAGAGCCAGGCCCTTGGCCTGACTGAACTGACCAGGCTGGACCCAGGCCACACCACCCTGGAGCCAGCTGGGACCAGGGGCCGCGGGCAGTCTGGCCTCCTGCCCACAGTGCAAGGCAAAGTGCCCAAGAGGCCTGGTGGATGGGGCTGGGGCATCCCACATGGGCTCCCATGCATCCCTGTCCTGTTGCTGTCTGTCTCCCCCAGGGAGAGAGGGAGAATGAGACTATCCTCCCAGGGTCCCCCTGAGAGTCCTTAGAGTCCTTTTTTTATTATTATTATTATTACTTTTTTGAGATGGAGTCTCGCTCTGTTGCCCAGGCTGGAGTGCATGATCTCGGCTCACTCCAACCTCACCTCCCAGGTTCAGGCGATTCTCCTGCTTCAGCCTCCCAAGTAGCTGGGGTTACAGGTGCCCACCACCAGGCCTGGCTAATTTTTGTATTTTTAGTAGAGACAGCATTTCGCCATGTTGGCCAGGCTGGTCTCGAACTCCTGACCTCAAGTGATCCGCCCGCCTTGGTCTTCCAAAGTGCTGGGATGAGAGTGAGCCCCTGCACTTGGCCAATCTCAGAGGCCTTTCTGACCTTCCAGGCCCCACCCCCCCACCTTCCAAACTCTTATCCTCCTCGCACTCTTCCCCCTCACTCTGTGATAACTGTACTGGCCTTCTCACTGTGCTCTGAGCAAGCCTCGGACCCTTGGCACTGGCTGTTCCCTCTGTCAGGAATGCTCCTTCCCCCAGTGTCTACTCAAAGATCACCTTCTTCGCGAGGTCCCTCCTGACCACTCCCCAACACTTTCTGGCTTTCTTTCCTTCTTTAATTTTGTCCTTCGCACTTAACACAATCTAACACATGCTATATGTTACTTATTTATCTTGTCTGTCTCCCATGCTAGGATATGTCATTTCCACGAGGGCAGGGATTTTTGTCTGTTTTGTTCATAGATGTATCCCCAATGCCTAGGAAAAGGGCTGGGCACACAGTGCACGCTCGATATATTTTTGTTAAATGAATGAATGCAAGAAACACAGTGGCAGAGAGAAAAAGAGGTGGGAGAAACACAAGTACAGTGTCTGTGAAAGAGGCAAAAAAGACAGAGGGATACAGAGGTGCAGATGGAGGGAGAGAAAAACAAACAGGGAGCAGGAAACAGATACAGAAATAGATGGATAGATGGAGGCAAAGAGACAAAGTGTATAGGAGACAGTTCCAGAGACAGAACCAGAGAGAAGGAACAGGAAGGGCCTGAGACAAGCAAGTGAAGCACTCACTGCCTCCTGCCCAACTTAGCTCAGGAGCCAGGAGAGACAAAATGCCTCTGAAATTGAGCTGAAATCAATCCCTCTAGGCTTTCAGCAGCCAAACTGTCAAGCATCAGTCCTAGGGATGAGGAACACCCTGAATCTCCATGAGGGCAAAAGAACAACAGAGTAGGCCGGGCACGGTAGCTCACGCCTGTAATCCAAGTACTTTGGGAGGCCAAAGTAGGAGGATTGCTTGAGCCCAGGAGTTTAAGACCACCCTGGGCAATATAGTGAGACCTCATCTCTACAAAAAAAAAAAAAAAGAATTAAAAATTAGCCAAGCAAGGTGGCACACGCTTATAGTCCCAGCTACTCAGGAGGCTGAGGCAGGAGGATTGTTTGAGCCCAGGAGGTGGAGGCTGCCGTGAGCAGTGATCGCACCACTGCACTCCAGCCTGGGCAACAAAGCAAGACCCTGTCTTTAAAAAAAAGAAAAAGAAAAGAAAGCAACAGGGTTCAAATCCAGGCTGTGGCACTTCCTGGCCATGACTCTGGGCAAGTCAGTTTTCCTCTCTGAGCCTCACATGCAAAATGCAGAAAAGAACAGCACTAGCGGCTGGGCACAGTGGCTCATGCCTGTAATCCCAGCACTTTGGGGGGCCCAGGCAGGTGGATCACTTGAAGTCAGGAGTTTGAGACCAGCCTGGCCAACATGGTGAAACCCTGTCTCTACTAAACATACAAAAATTAGCTGGACATGGTGGCTCTTGCCTGTGATCCCAGTACTCAGGAGGCTGAAGCAGGAGAATTGCTTGAACCCAGGAGGCAGAGGTTGCAGTGAGGCGAGATCGCCCCACTACACTCCAGCCTGGGTGACAGAGTGAGACTCCATCTCAAAAAAAAAAAAAAAAGAACAGCACCTCACACACAGGTTCCAGCTGAGGGGCCAGGCAAGCCGAAGCTCTAACTGACTTGCCCTGAATGTCACAGGTTGAGGGGGAAGCCAGGTCTAAGACCCCCAGGGCCCCAGTCCCCAGCTCTGTATGGCTCTGCCCCCTTGTGGATGTAGAAACCCCTCCCACTCCTCCCACAGGGTGAGAAATGTGCCCCCAGATAAATAAATGACTGGGATGGTGGGGAGGTGCAGTGATTAGTCCGTCTCAATACCTCTGTGTTCACACCTCACCCACCACAAGCCTGGGGCAAATGCTGCCTCTCCCATAGCCCCTGCACGTCTCCCATCTGGGCCCTGACCTTTCTGCCTGGGCTTCCTCCATCCCAGCCCCGAGCATTCTGGGCCATCCTTGTCAGATAACGTTTGAGCTCTGTGAAGCAGGAATCATATTCTGTCCTGGTCATCTCTGTGACTACACCCCACTCCGTACCGAGCACGGGCTCAGTACATGTTTAATTGACTGGAGAATGAGTGAATAAACAATATGGTGAAAGGAGCAATTAATGCATGACTGAAAAGAAATGAATGAGTGAATCATGGAATGAACTATCCCCCGGGCTCCTCCTCCTCGTTTTGCTGAGCCTGGCATGCAGCAGATGCTCAAGAAATGTGGAACAGGCCGGGCTCAGTGGCTCACATCTGTAGTCCAGCTACTCAGGAGGCTGAGGCAGGAGAGTTGGTTGAGCCTAGGAGCTCCAGGCCGCAGTGAGCTATGATTGCATCACTGCACTCCAGCCTGGGCAACAGAGTAAGATCCCTGTCTCAAAAAAAAAAAAAGTGGGACAAAGGAAGGAAAGATCCAGGCCTGGATGGAAAAGGGGCCACTAAATGATGAGCTTGCATCCTCAAGAACAGAATTTCCATAAAAGTTTCTTTTAGAAACTTGCAGCCTTGTCCCAGATAAATCTAAGGAAAGGATGTCTGAGCCCTAAACAGAAAATGGGTAACGGTCTTGGGGCTGGAGGTGGCACAGTGAAGTGACCAGGGATGCTTTCTGTCAGAAGACGGGAAGACAGAAGGAGGGGTACTGGGTCCTTTTCTGGCCTGGATCATGCCAGAGAGAGCCAGAGAGCTTGAGCGGAGAAATTTAGGGTCACCAGGAGGAGCAGAAACAGCTCTAATGATGGACAGAACTGGGTCTGGAAGACGAGAAGGGACTTCCCATGATGGCTGGAGGTGGTGGTGCTGTTTTGTTCAGGGCCTACCTACAATAGTGCCTGGCACACAGCAGGTGCTCAGTAAATGTCTTCGCTTGATTAGTGCAAGGACAGACAAGAGAGTGGTGGTAAGAGACAGATGGTGACAGAAGCAGAGAACAACGAGGTTCAAGAGATGAGAGAGACACAGAGACACACAGACACTCACTCTGCATGCTTCCGAGAGTAGCTGGGGCCAGGCAGAGGTGCTTACACAAAATATTTGACAACCAGCCTGGCAGGGGACACTGTCCCATCTGGAAAGCTGGAGCGCACCTGTGCCTGGCCTCTAGCTGCTGGATCTGGGGAGTTCTGGGAGTTCCCAAGGAAGCTGCAGAAGAGCAGGAGGGATAATGGGGCATCTAGGGAAGTAAGTTAACCTTTTTTTTTTTTTTTTTTTTTTTTGGAGTGGAGACAGAGTCTTGCTCTGTCCTCCAGGCTGGAGTGCAGTGGTGTGATCACAGTTCATTGCTGTCTCAATCTCCCAGACTCAAGCAATCCTCCCATCTCAGCCTCAAGAGTAGCTGGAACTACAGGCACACATCACCACACCCAGCTATCTTTTTTTTTTTTTAATTTTAGAGACGGGGTCTCACTGTGTTGCCCAGGCTGGTCTGGAACTCTTGGGCTAAAGCAGTCCTCCCGTCTCAGCCTACCAAAGTGCTGGGATTACAGCTATGAGTCACTGCACCCAGCCTAACATTTTAACAACAGGACCAGCTATCGCACGCTGAGGGCAAGCTTGAGGAAGAAACCTTTCATTGTATATCCTTCTGTATATTTTGGGTTGACAGCCTCAGGTTACCTTTTCACAATATATCCACTTAAGGCCAGGTGCAGTGGCTCATGCCTCTAATCACAGCACTTTGGGAGGCCGAGGCAGGTGGATTACCTGAGATCAAGAGTTCAAGACCAGCCTGGCCAACATGGTGAAACCATGTCTCTACTAAAAATGCAAAAATTAGCCGGGCGTGGTGGCTTATGCCTGTAGTCCCAGCTACTGTGGAGGCTGAGGCCGGAGAATCACTTGAACCCAGGAGGTGAGGGTTGCAGTGAGCCGAGATCGTGCCACTACACTCCAGCCTGGACAACAGAGCGAGACCCCAGCTCAAAAAAAAAATCCACTTAAATCAAATCTAAGACAACATGGAATTAAATAGAAATAGGAAAGGGCCACAGAGAAGCAGAAATCGTGATGAAAGGAGCGGGACCCTGGCCTCCCACACCACTCCCCTATGCTGGGCCCCATCTTCTGCCCCCTCCCTGGGGTGGACGGGTCTGGGGGACCTACTTCTCCAGCAGCCGAGTCACAGCCTCCTGAGCCTGCTCCCCATAGATGTTGCCCTGCCTCAGCAGGCCCTCCGCAGCCTGCACGGCCACCTGCATCTTTTGCTGGTTCAGCTCCATGGTGGTGAGAAAATCCCGGTGCTGTTTCAACGCCTCCTCCACCGATTCCACTGTGCCCGGGAGCTCCGCACCAGACAGCGCCATCTCCTGGGGAGGAGGGAGCATGGTGCAAAGGTCAGCCTCATTCTATTCCAGGACCTGGGAGAGGCTGCCAGCCTGGCTTGTCAGCACTCCCCGCAACCTTGCAAGCATCGAACATTGCAGTTGTGGTCCCACCTCGGGGCCGTTGTCCATGCTGGTGTCTCTGCCTGGCGGTCTGTCCCTCCAGATACCCCCATGGCTGGCTCTTTCACTTTCTTCAGGTCTCTGACTACCCTGCCAAAAATATCAACTCCCACCCCAGCCCTATCCCACTATCCTCCTGTATTATTTCTTTTTGTGGGGGGAGGGAGCCGACGGAGACTCACTCTGTTGCCCAGGCTGGAGTGCAGTGGTGCAACCCAGTTCACTGCAACCTCCACCTCCTGGGTTCAAGTGATTCTCCTCCCTCAGTCTCCCAAGTATCTGGGATTACAGGTGCATACCACCAAGCCTGGCTAATTTTCTGTATTTTTGGTAGAGACGGGCCTTCACCGTGTTGGCCAGGCTGGTCTCAAACTCCTGACCTCAGGTGATCCGCCTGCCTTGGACTCCCAAAGTGCTTGGATTACTGGCGTGAGCCACCGCACCTGGCCAACCCTCCTGTATTATTTCTCATAGCATATACCTGGCAATATTAGCAATGCATTGACTTGTTTACTCTCTCCTCCCCCACATACTAGAATGTCAACCACATGAGGGCAGGATTTTGTATTTTGTTGCCTGAGGTGTGCTCTGCTCCAAAATAGTGCCCAGCACAGGGGAGGCACTCAGTAAATATTTGGTTAATATGAAGACTGAAGCCTGGGCATGGTGGCTTATGTCTATAATCCCAGAACTTTGGGAGGCCGAGGCGGGAGGATCACTTGACCTCAGGAGTTCGAGACCAGCCTGGGCAACATGGTGAAACCCCATCTCTACTAAAAATACAAAAAATTAACCAGGCGTAGTGGCACGTGCCTGTAGTCCCAGCTACTTGGGGGGCTGAGGTGGGAGGATTGCTTGAGCCCCATAGGTCAAGGCTGCAGTGAGCCGTGATCGTGCCACTGCACTCAGGCCTGGGTGACAGAGTGAGGTCCTGTCTCAAAAAAAGAAGACAACTAAACTGGGTACTGTGTGAACTCAAGGAGGTTCTTTTCCCTCTGGGGTTAGTTTCCTAACTGGTAAAATGGGTGGGTCAGGGCCGGGCACAGTGGCTCACACCTGTAATCCCAGCACTTTGGGAGGCCAAAGCAGGGGGATTGTTTGAGCCCAGGAGCTGGAGACCAGCCTGGGCAGCATAGACAGATCCCGTCTCTATTTTTTTTTTTTTTAGGCTAGGGTGCAGTGGTGCGATCTTGGCTCACTGCAAGCTCCGCCTCCCAGGTTCACGCCATTCTCCTACCTCAGCCTCCCGAGTAGCTGGGACTACAGGCACCTGCCACCATGCCCAGCTAATTTTTTTTTTTTTTTTTTGTATTTTTAGTAGAGATGGGATGTCACCGTGTTAGCCAGGATGGTCTCGATCTCCTGACCTCGTGATCCGCCCACCTTGGCCTCCCAAAGTGCTGGGATTACAGGCGTGAGCCACTGCGCCCAGCCCCTGTCTCTATTCTTTAAATGGGTGGGTCAGAAAGGGTCTCTCAAGGCCAATCACTTCAGCTCCATATTTAGTAATCTTATGATTCAGGGGCTCTCTGTCCTTTCTCCCCTACTCCCTAGATCAGAATTTCCCAAGCCTTGGGCCACAGAGGGGTACTAGTCCATGGCCTGTTAAAAACTGGGCTGCATAGAAGGAGGTGGGCGGGCAAGTGAGCATTACTGTCTGAGCTCCGCCTCCTGTCAGATCAGCAGCAGCTTTACATTCTCATACGAGGGCAAACCCTATTGTGAACTGCACATGTGGGGGATCCAGGTTGCACGCTCCTTATGAGAATCTAATGCCTGATGATCTGTTGCTGCTTCCCATCACCCCTAGATGTCACTAGATGGGACCGCCTAGTTGCAGGAAAACAAGCTCAGGACTCCCACTGATTCTACATTACAGTGAGTTGTATAATTATTTCATTACATGTTATAATGTAATAACAATAGAAATAAAGCACACAATAAATGTAATTTGCTTAAATCATCCTGAAAACATTCCTCCTTCCCGCACCAGTTTGTGGAAAAATGGTCTTCCAGGAAACCGGTCCTTGGTACCAAAAAGATTAGGGAGCGCAGTGGCTCATGTCTGTAATCCCAACACTTTGGGAGGCCAAGGCAGGTGGATCATGAGGTCAAGATACCGAGACCATCCTCGCCAACATGGTGAAACCCCATCTCTACTAAAAACGCAAAATTACAAAAATACAAAAATTAGCTGGGCATGGTGGCTCGCGCCTGTAGTCCCAGCTACTTGGCTGAGGCAAGAGAATCGTTTGAACCTAGGAGGCTGAGGTTTCAGTGAGCCGAGATCATGCCACTGCCCTCCAGCCTAGCTACAGAGTGAGACTCTATCTTAAAAAAAAAAAAAAAAAAAAAAAGATTGGGGACCACTGCTGTAGATAATCCTCAAACTGGGTCAGCATCCCTTAGATAACCAGTATAGGCAGGCACCCTTTCTAAGATGGTCCCCAAACACTGGAAGCTACTCTTGGACAATCTGAAAACTGGCTGTTCTATCTTGCCAAAATTCTCAAACTTGGTTCCCATCCCAGAGTGATCTCCAAACTGGATTGGCTGTCCCGAGATAACCACTGCACTTGGTTCCTCATGCCACAAACACAGTTACTCTCTCCAGAGAATCCATAGTTGTCATCCCCAGAAATGAAGATATTGTGCTAATTTAGGCATCCACACCATGTAATCCACAATCACTGACTGACTCCAATAACCCCTCAGCCTGTTACCTACCTCCATAATCCTAATCCTTTGTTATCCATACCAAGATCTTCTTTGAACCCCATTTAACCATCAATCAACCTCATAGTCTTATTTGCTTTCAGATAATCCACGAACCCAGGAAGTCACTCCAATAAATATCCACATGCATTACTTACTTGGAATAGCCCACAAACTGTCACCTGTAATAAGACACCAACCTACCCCACTCATCATACTCCTCAAATTCTGTTACATACACGCTTCCACACACACTGGATGATCCACAAACTCACGTATCCATTCCGGATATTCTCTCAACTCCTACCCACCTCAGAACCCAGTGGTCCCAGCAAACACCCTCCTCCCCACCACCGCATGCCCCTGTCCCTGCAATCCCCCGCGGCCTCGGACTCTCCCTTGCCGAAATGTACACCCCGAGTGGGCACCTGGTTACGCAGCACCACGAGCGCCTGGCGTAGATCCCGCAGGAAGAGCTGGTAGATGTGCGCCTGGACCAGTGCCTCCCTGCGCGCCTCCCACAAGCCGAGCAATTTATGCCAGCCAAGTTCGAGGTGTGGCAGCCACTCGTCTAATGCCAGGCCCGGGCCCAGCTCTGCGCCGTCGGCGGCCAGCAGCGCCTCG